ATAAATCTCAAGGTAAACATACAGCTCTAACAGGCAGAAGAGGCTTGAGCTGTAGAGGGCGTGGAGGAAGGAGCTGGGAACCGCCTGACATCCTGTAAGACTCGACTTGAGGCTTATACTCCAGGCGCTCGAGGAGTACCTTGGGGAGACGGAGACAGGAAGAGCGAGGAAGGTGACGGGAAGTTCTGAGGACGAGAGGAGCGTCGAGGACCCGTCCAGCGTCACGTGGTGATCGTCGAGGACGACACTTGTGCTGAATAATATTCTGAACAATGTCATCCTGGACGTTAATAGTTATTATAAAGCATAAATGTTCACACTTCAATAAGTTAAAATCACTTAATTTGTCATTAACGAGCAATATCTTAACTCTATTGAAAGTAAATATTTAACATCATCCAGTGTTGTGTCAGGAACTTTGGGTTGTTGGGTTTGTTAGTCTGTTATTGTATATATTGTATATTGTAGTTGTCTGTTATTGTATATATTGTATATTGTAGTTGTCTGTTATTGTATATATTGTATATTGTAGTTGTCTGTTATTGTATATATTGCATATTGTAGTTGTCTGTTATTGTATATATTGTATATTGTAGTTGTCTGTTATTGTATATATTGTATATTATAGTTGTGGAGCGGTCATTAACAGTTCTTGACTGACGGACGATTGCTACTTCACTGCCGATTATATTGCAAATGTTGCTCTGTTGTACCTGTTTCCTCCAAAGGATGGATACCTGATCAACCAGGCTGTGACTCATACGTCAGGCTACGAGCAGCAGCGTCCAACAGCCTGGTTGATCAGCCTGGTTGGTTGTCCAGCAACCAGGAGGCCTGGTCGACGACCGGGCCGCGGGGACGCTAAGCCCCGGAAGCACCTCAAGGTAACCTCAAGGTAGGTTGCCATGGGGGGTGTTACATTACTCCTTCACTATTTCTTTCCTTCTCTTAACTATGTTAACATATCATACCCGGGTCGAATGGAATATATCAAATACAAAATACCCAATACCCATCCAACAAGTGGTAGCGGACCCCATACCTCTCGTTTTGGGTGGTAGCATGGACCCCATATACATCGTGTTATTTGCTGTATTGCCCGAAAACGCTAAGCCCGAAACGCTATGCGTGCTAGTGGCTTTACTAGAATGTAAAATCGTTATCATTACTATGTACTCTCTTAACTTCCAATGTACCTTCTTGTATATAAATAAATAAATAAATAAATAGTTGTAGATCCTTTATCTATCCTGTTTGCAGTAGTGTACCTTATAGACATTACAACGTCACATCGTTTTCTCTTAACGATCTTACAATTCATTCTCTTTAATATTTTCAAAGCATATACTATTGTATATAATGTTGTTTAGCGAATGTATCATTATTATATGTAATAATTTATAGTGCGCTTATTATAATTTACTGATAAGCACCAAGATTTCTCCTAAGTGCTGACCTTTAACAGGATGCACTGTAGTATAGTGGTTTAAATTATGGGTTGAAACATTAGTTGACACCAAATGCAGACTTAGTACTCTATTTTAGTAATGAGATCATTCATCTGTCAACAGCTATCACCTTCGCTGACGACTTCACTACAATCTTAATTAATAAGCCTTAACAATCATCCAAAATACTAGAATAAGGAGCCATAGGTGGTAGCTATACCACAGGTGAGCTATACATCTTAATTAATAATTTTAATAACAATAATAATTATTATTTTCATTATTCAACTTTGCCTCAAGTCAACTAGATTTTCTTTCTATAGATTTCAACTAGTAATTTTTTATCCATCCTCTGTGCTCAATCCCGCAAGATCTCCATGCCGTCCCCTGTATTCTACAAGGCCGAATTACTGATCTAGGATGAATGAACTGTATAATTATTAAATTTATTGCGTTAGTAATTATTAGTTAATAATTATTCGACATATATTACCCAATACCCATCGGCTGTTTGAGGGTGTGGGTGCAGAGTACATGTGTGGGTACAAAGTACATGTGTGGGTACAGAGTACATGTGTGGGTACAGAGTACATGTGTGGGTACAGAGTACATGTGTGGGTACAGAGTACATGTGTGGGTACAGAGTACGTGTATGGGTACAGAGTACATGTATGGGTACAGAGTACACATGTGGTGATACAGGGTGCACATGAACGGACGGAAACGTCGTCGTTTCTCCATTGTTTGTGTGGTTTGGTCATTATATCTTCAGCCACATTATTTTGACTTATCACCTGCCCAAGATGGCGAAATAATTGGCCGACTAACCTGTTTAACTCCGCCTGAGTGCGACTGGTAATGAGCGCCCATGTCAACGTGTGGGTCACCTGACGACTGATGACCTCAACTACCCAATTAATACTGTCGTTCCGTCACGACCTCCTCGCTACCACTCGCCTCTGATACATTCTTACAATCATTCTTCTCCTTTTATTTGACCTCAAACGCGTTCAAATATTAACGCCTCTTCTAGACTTTACATGTACTAGGTCAACATTTTCATCCTGAAGGTCAGTTATGGAGTTGAGCTTAAAACTTATGTTTAGAGTCATATCTATACAGGGGTAGATTTTTCACTGCTTAACTGCACATTTTGCATTTAATTGCATTGGTAGCTAGTAATAGGACACTTGTTAAGTTGTAACTGCTATGTATGACAATGAGACTGAGAAACCTTCATTGCTGCAGTCAGGGTTTTTATGGGAGGAGGCCAGCATTGTCTTTGGCACTATGCAAGACTCCATCAACCTTACTCACACTTTCAAGTAGATTTGTCCTAATGTTTCTTTAAAAAAAATCGTATTTTACAGTATTTTAGCATTATAATTCACTTATTAATTGCATCCCTCTTAGTCTTTGCTGTATAATGTTCCAAGATTGTCACCTTTTGATAATTACTTGCTTACTCAATCTTTCGAATATAATTTTACATATTATTCCACAATGGAAGTCCCAAGCATCTACTTTTGCAAAGCCATAATGAGTAAATACGTTCTACTGCTCTTCTGTTTAAAGCAACTTTTATTACAACATCTTGGCAAGTATTACTGTTCTCTTGCCATTTTTACTGATGGCTCTAAATCCGTAGTTTGGATTTCCAGCTGTTTTCACTAATGCAACTTATATGTGTACACCATTCCTCCAAAAAATATTTATTTTTATTATTAAACCATATGCGAGTGTGTGTGCTCTTTAAGAAGTGTACTTTTAACCCCTTTAGTCCTCTGGTAATGATAAAGCTGTCAAATCTACCATTCAGATCGGCCTCCTGTTCTTGATGCATCATATTCTTTACAGATTACTACCCAATAGTACATTTAGCCTTATTGACATCATGATGAAAGAAATACATATTGTTATTTAATACATTAATAAACTCCACACCATGGTATGTGATATTTGCTACTGATGTTACCTTTGTGTCATCAAAACTGAAAATTGAAACTCTCTTAACCAACATGTACATTAGCCATAGTAAGTTGCCCCATGATGGAAAGGAAATCTGCCCATTTTTGTCTATATTGCCATGCTCCATTTGTCACATTTGATTCCAATTTGTATTTTTTAATTTCAGTTTCAATTTGTATTTTTTAGTTTTAGCAATTCCCTTAATCAGGCATCATTACATACATTCTTTAATAATCATTCTTTTCCTTAAAGTCAAGGATTCATTTGACTACCTGTATTTTTAAGGTTTGGTTATTTTCTTATTTTTACTGTAGCTCTCACAAGTTGTGCAACTTTCAGTGTCTAGATCTTGACTCCAAGGTCCCTTTCTTCATCAATCTGCTGTAATGTAATGCTATTAATTTGGTAGTCGTGGTATGGGTTGTTATGTCCCATATGCATGGTCTTGCATTTGCCTATATTAAAAAGCATTTGCTAGCTTTCTGACCACTTGTGGAGTTCATGTAGATCTCTTTGTGAGCCTTTAATATCGTTATCAATTCCCACTTTACCATAAAACTTTGTGTCATGTGGAAATTTGATAATGTGGTTTGTAATATTTTCGTCTATGTCATTGATGTACTGTGTATGACAAAAAGGGTAGGTCCCAAAATCCCTTGTGGCACCCCACTTATCACATTTTGCCATTCAGATTCGTTTCCATTTAGCACGACCCTTTGTTTTCTTTCCTTCAACCATTGTTTTATCCATTCTAATATTTTACCATTTATTCCATAGGCCTGTAATTTCCTTGTCAGTCTTTGACCTTATCAAAAGCTTTACCAAAATCCATGTGTACTACATCCACGAGAAGGCCTTTGTCTGAGTAGCTGGTTACCTTTTCCAAAAATGTGAGCAAATTTGTAAGGCAGGATCTGTTTTTAACAAATCATCATATAGACTTATAGATCATACAATGAAATTAAATTGTTCTAAGCATGTTATTTTATCTAATTTAGAGCAAAATAGACAGCTAAAAAGAGTAATAATACACAGTACTTCTAACCAAGGTGAGCTAAAGTTTTGTTTTCTGGCAGAAGACCCCAAATAAGATTATTTGTTTTTATGTCATTTTTAATAGATTATTCATGCTTAATCATAGCCTCGCGATTTCAAGACAAGAAGTTCTTCTATTAAGCTATTGCCCCTCACATCAGTATTGCCTACTACCTACTATTAATAAAATCTAATTAATCTCCACTTCACTTTCACATTTTTCCAGTGATTGGTTCCATTTTTCTTGAACTTCATAATTGTATTTTCTAACTACATTCTATTTGAAATAAACTTTTTATACTCATCCTCAATGTTAAAAATGTTTTATTTTTAATGGGGTATGATAATTGCCGTCAACTGGTGGATCTAAGGAGTCACCTTAAGGTAAATAAATAAATAAATAAATAAATAAATATTTAACAATTAGTTCCTGGGAAGAGGGGTAGGAACCTCTTAAGCTTCTCATCAGGTGATAAGACTTGAAGGATGTCATGGAGATTAAGTGCAAGTTGCACATTTTGTCAACTGTGAGGTTGAATAAAACAAAAGTTACACTTTGATCTGACCAAAGCAGATGGTACTGGAGTTTAAATGCTCCAATTTATTCCTTTCAATTTGTTTTTAATTTACACATTAAAACTTTGATTCATGAGCATATTACCGGTACTTGTAATGTCAATGCTCTTGTCAGAAAAAGTGTGTACTGTATGTACTGTAATTGAAATAAAGGCTATCCATGCTAAATTAACACTAACATTAGCTTTGGTCTCGTGTCGTCTAACATAATTTCACAACATACATTCATTAAAGCAAATAGTATGCAACATAGCAGAATCAATGGATTACACATCAATTCTGATATGACCAATTGCCCATTATTACCTGTTCTATTTTAAAGTGAAGGAATATATGTATTTATATGGATTATGCCATTCTGGAATTTCTCTTTAATACAGCACAGTCATTAAAGCTTAGTTGAAAATCTTGTAACGCCTGATGTGTTCATTTTTAATTAGCAATAAATGTAACACAAATCAATATATTACTGTAAAAAAAAATATATATATATATATACTGTATATGTAATGATAAAAAAAAATAGTCAAGTTCCTACTATCTGATTACCGTTTTCTTGATTTTATTTTGAACCTGACGGCAACTCTGTCGAAAATCTCTCTTCCACGCTGAAATCAAACCAGATCTTGCTCTATTTCCATCAGCAACATCATTCCCCATTATCTTCTCCTTGCCATGTGTACTGTTCCTCCTGTGTCTTCGTCCGCTTCCATCCCGGCCTGCATCTGCCTCCTCCTCCCCAGTGAAAAGGACGGAACACTAAGAATGGGTAGGGACAAAGTATATATATTTCTGTTAGATATATTAGGTAATGCTTTATTAGATTTCAAGCTTGTAAGAGTAAGTTATGTTCCCCTTACAAGAAAATTAGGTATTTTAAGCATTAATGAATTGAATTTGGATATTACCTTCTAAATTAATGGAATTTATAAAAGAACCCAAATACTGAATAATTATTTGTGCATAACCAGTACATATTAATATTGTACAGAAATGTAGCTTTATTATTTATGCTTCTTAGATCAAGTAGTTCACATTATTTAATGAAGCTTTGTCCTAGATAAGTTGTAATATTGAACAATATTTTTGTACTGCTACTGAATAACTTTGTTGATATACGATTGTTTTTGGTATTATATTTCAAGAAGTTGTGATGTATGTTCAGGCAGAGCATCAATATATACATATAAGAAATCAGCTTGTAAATAACGTTCATATTATAATTTTTTGTACTGACGATCGATGTTTGAGAGAATACTGGAAATGTGTTAGAAAAACTCAAATTTAATCAATCAACATATTTAAGAGTCAAACAGTAGCAGTTTTATAGCTCCCGATTGAAATTATAGATTCCCTAGATTTGCCTAATCACCCCCACCCCCCTAGAATGTATATTTAATATGGATGTATGAACAAATTATTTGCTCCATTCTAGCCCAAAGTTCAGCGGTGAGAAACTGCCACCTTGGCAAAGTACAGTATTAAACACAACCAGTTAAACAGATACAGTACAAGTACAGAACCCGGTAAATCATTCTTAATGTAGGATATAATTCCTATTGGCTGAAGTGCCTTAGCACTATGCCTTAGAAAAAAAAGTTCAAAGTATATTGCAGCAGGAATAAAGTTCTATAACAATTTGGTTCATATTGAAAAGTTAGACAAGGCACAAACCATGTAATGCAGCTCTCTCTGGTGGTTATGATTAGAAGTTCCCTTGGTGGAAGTGAATATGGGCGTCGCATATATTGGTTCATCTCCACGTCTTGATCCCTTTTCCCAAAAAAACATAATAGCAAAAATTAAGCATGAGAATTATCCTCAGTGATTGTAATAAGTGGCAAAAAAAAATGTTTCTTCTTAATATGATACTGTATAAAATATAGAAAATATAAATTTAAAATCTTAATGTTCATGAAAATCTTTTATATAATTTGAAAATGTTTTACTTTAGTTAAGGGTTGTTGTTATACAAGTTATGAAAAATCAGACTTTTGAATACAGTACAGTATATTGAAAAGCACCTTCCTGAGCAAAGCACTAAGTTGCTTCCTAAAGGAAGATCCTATTTTATCTTTTCAATGAATCTTTAAATCTTGAATAAACCTCAAGAGCTTTAGGATTACAAAGGATAAGAAAGGCCAAGAAGAAGAAGAACATGAGCCGATATAATGAATGAGCATGAAAAAAAAACATGGTACGAATGTGAGCAATGAACAAGAGAGAACAAGAGAACAAGAATGATCAACAATGAATTCAGCAGTGAACTGGGCTCAGTGGAAGCAGATTGTTAGGAGGAAATGAATGACTGACATATTGTGTCTGGTACACCTCACATGGTTGTATGCAGACCTCACATGGTTGTACTCTGCTCCTAGTCTGTACTCTGCCGAGATACTGCTTTCTTTGATGCACGTGTCCGATTAACTTTACTACAACTTCAAACAAGTGGGAAAACAGGGTATTGTAATAATCCTCATATTTATTGAATTTAGCTCTTCTAATTCTTTGGGTAATGAGTCCTTCTGTGAGTTTTGATGCATGTTCATGGAAAAACCGACCTCCCTATATTCATTAAGTTTTTTATTATTTATTTATTTATATATACAGTATATACAAGAAGGTTTAATGGGTTTATAGGAGTACAAAGCATTGATTTTTTACATTCTTATAAAGCCACTAACACGGATAGCGTTTGGGGCAGGTCCTTAATCTAACATATAATTTTAAGTAAGTAATTTGTAGCAAAATTGAAAAAAGTTAACAGGTACATTGTAAGAATATTTGAAGAAAATTAGAAGGTACATTTTAATAAAATTTTAGGATTACCTGTATTGACAGGTGCATTGTAGCATAATTTGAGGATTATTTCTAGGTACATTGTAGTGAAATTTGCGTTCAATATAACAACCTTGATATAAGATGATGGCAGTGATTACAATGATGAAGTTATATGGCTTAGGCACATTTTTGGGCAGCACATGATACAGTGACAGTGTGAAGCACTAGGTAGAAAAGTATGAGGACTATTTGCATAATCTTATTCACGTCTCGAGCAATATTTGTATTTATTTACCCTTTTAATATCTGTAATTATCTATTTAAATATTTACAAGTACAATGGGTTTTGTAAGAGGCTTATAGTGTGCAAATGTTAAGTCTTACTAAGCCACTAACTAATATAGTCACACTAGTGGTCTCTATTGCAAATGACTTTGGTTAGGTTAACTCATTTCAGGTTTAGATTTTCAGATTTAAACATGTTAATCATCTTTAACTTTATAATTTGAAAATATGTATAAGCTTTTTAAGCCAATTCCAACAACAGATTTGTTTAAGATTTTTCATTTTGCGTGTATAGTACTTGGAGGCTCTGTAAAAAAAAGTGCAATTCATGTAATACACATGCAAACTCTGTGATCAAACCATTGTACCATTTACTGTTTACATATAAATGAATTGCTATTATAAATTTAGGTTCGGTACTTATTTTAAATTTATTAAAAAATTACATTAGAAATACAAAGGAATGTTGTTGTTTTAGAACGAAATACTACTCAGAACATAGCCTCTGCTACTCAGAACGAAATGTCCATGTAGCACAGGCTATGGTGAGCCCGTAAACACTACAAAGGGAAAAACTTCTCACCTTATATAGTGTTTCATCACTCATGCTGCGTTTCCGGTAGAGATGAGCAATGTCAGATGAGGTATTCACACAGCAGTAACCAAGTGAGAGTGGTTGATCAGTTTCAAATGATGTGGAGTTTGCTTCTAAGTTGCATGTAGATGTTGCTCTAATAGCTGGGATCAAGGACTTTATATCCTCGTAATCATTGGCAGAAATACTTTGACTTGAAGAGAGGGATTCGAAGTGTGATGTTCTTAATTTGAGTGAATCTGGAGGGCTATTCTCATCATGCATTTGTTTATGGTTTCTGTTCACATCCCAAGCATTTTTAAAGCCTAGATGACTTATTTGGTCATTCAAAGAAGACCTACGGTTTATATGAACATGTCTTGTGGCATCAGGGATACAAGGACTATTGACACAATGATTAGTAGCATTTCCCTCAATGTCTGTGCATGGAGGAGGAGCAGGTGGTGGTTTCTTTGGTCTTCTGAGGCTATAGCGAATATGTGCTTGCTTTTGAAATTCTGATGTTATGGCTGCTTCCTCATCTTTCTCAGTACTAGAAAGAGGGTCAACCACTGATGCTCTCTTGGCTTTAGTGATAATATGGGCAGGCTTAGGAGCAATGGATGGTTTAGAAATGTCATGGTCAGTCAAATCACTTTTACTTCTGATGGGAGGCTTGGGAGTAAAATTTTTATTGTTCTTTTTCTTCTTCAATGGAACAGCATAGATGGGTTGTGCGGGAGGTGTTTCAGCTTGAGAATTTTCATTTATTTCACCAGACTCTTTCTCCCCCTGAACTTCTTCACCATTAGAAGTTTTAACATTTCGATAAATGTCATAAGCAAAAGTTCTTGGCGGCTTTCTAGGCGGTGGCCCAACTGGTATACATTCTGGCTTTGTATTTTCAGAAGTTTCCAACATTTCATCACTATTGACTTTTTCTCTGAGACATTCAGTGGATTTTGAAGTAATTCTACCTTTTCTGTGTGGCCTATGGTCTTCTGTTGATATATCTATTTCTTTATTAGTTTCTAACTGCACCGATTGTAGCTCACACTTTAATTCTGTGCTTCCCCACTCTTTATTGTATTTTTGGTTACTCAAAGGTCCAGGAATAGGACTATGGGCAATTGCAGACCTTTTACTTAAAGAAGGTGAGCTATCTTGATTTATCATTATCGGGGAATTTTCTCTGGTCTTCTCTAAAGATTGGGATGATAAAAGGGATTCAGAAGATTTACTGAGATCAGGAGACTCTGTGTACCTATGCCCATTAATATCTGGAGTCAATCTAAACTCTATGGGAATTTCTGTGCTGCTTATATCTGATGATTGCAAAATTTCATCAATAGTGCAACTTTTAGTTGGTGATTTATCGCTTACAATTTGATTTGGTGAAATTGGAGATGGTGATGATAGGCTTGGTGGTGATGGAGCTTTTCCTTTTTTATGTGGTGTCAAACCAGCACCAGAAGATCTACGTCTTGGAGGTCTTGCAGGAGGAATTACAAGTGTGTCTCCGCTAGAATGTGATGAACCACTGTCAACAATCGTCGAAGTTGCAGCTCCGGATTTTGTCAGTGCAACGTTTGCAACAGCTTTTGCAATTGATACTGTGGCTACTGCTGCTCCTGATAAAGGTGAAGTTTTCTGTGCATTAGACCTTCGTTTACTGTCTACCAGTAATTTAGGTTCACCATCTATCTTAATATCTTTGGCATTTGTCTCAGTTTGTAGCTGTAAGTTGTCAGCTTTATCTGGCGAAGAAAGTCGGCCAATTTTCTTATCTTTTGAACGTGGCGTTATGGATTTTTCCTTCTTATTTTTAATTTCTTTCTCAGTTTTTGAAGAAAAACTTAGCTTTCTAAACACTTTTGGTTTTTCTTTATTTTTCATATTTCTCACTACATTAGCTACAATTTTCTGTTTGCCCTCAAATGTTGAATTGCTTTTAGAATCTTGATTATTAAATAAACTATCATTACTTTTCGGTTTTCTCTTTTGAATGAGCCAGTCCTTATTTAATATACCTGTGCTGTCCTTCTGCTTTATGTTACTGTCGCCTTTCTTTTCAACACTAGAGTCTCTTTTAATAATGAAACTTCCATGTGATCTGGAGCGGATATGCCCAAAAAATCTCCCTCTTTTCTCATGACATTCAGTGACAGGCTCCTCCTCATCCTCGTCTCTGTCTTTTTCTTTACTTAATTTCTTTTCCTGAGAATTAAGACCCGTGTCAACTGATTTGAACACGGGTATTCTTCGGACAACACTAGGCTTGACTTGAGTACCACACGTGTCTAACTTGTCATCCGCACTCTTATTCAGTACGCTTCTGTGAGTTCGTATTTCCGAGTGGTTTCTCCTTTCTGCTTGACTATCAATAGAATGTTTCCTGTGAGATAATGCCTTGATAGTCTTAGAACTAGGACGGAGTGGCGATATAATTTCAGATAAAAATGATTCATTATTAAGTTCTTTAGTTGAGCCGTTGTTGACACCAGTTGTCAGGGGTGTATGGTCCTGTTCACCTACCTTAGTGGGATGCAACAACTTCTTTTGAGGCTTTGTTCCATCACTAGATTTGTGTGTGTCCTGGACTGATGCTGTTCTTGCTCTAACTGGAGAGGTGTTGATCTGGGCAGAAGAATTTGCTAGTGGAGTATCTTCATGTAACTGCTCAAATCTTCCCCTCATGGCTTGGACACTTACCCGAGCTTCCACCTCCATCTTGCTAGTGATCTTTATAATATCTGTAAGAAGAAACGGCGTCACTTTCTCATACATTAAGAAGAATATCCAAGTCTACTAAATCATTCAACATGTAATAATTAAACTAAATAAAATATAAGTTGTAGATCTGTTGTATACCTTTCTCTACATCATGAGAATTTATATTTGCAGTACTGAACTGCCAGTCTAAGTTCTGTGTGTACGGATATGAAATAGAAACCTATTTGTGTTCACCTAGCAATAAATAGGTACCAATAAATATCTGCCATAGGCTGCATCCTGGGGGATGTATGTGTGTGTGAGAATAGTGTAGTAGATATGATACAGGAAAAATAGGCCAGGGGTCAGTACATAGACCTATTTTTCCTGCTCTTGGACACGCAGTCACTTAGCATTTTAAAAGCACCGAATCACCTTCTGTGGTTGATTGTTCAATAAACCCCTGAACTATATGTTTAACACATCTCTAATCCTGTCCATGAAGGACAGAAGAAAATGTATCTATGCTGGTTAGCATTGTAAATGTGTGGCCACGTCTGTGGTAGAAAAAAAACTAGTTTCAAAGCATTATATGACAGTGCTGGGAAGACGGGACACCACGAGCTTCGCTTTCATCCTGTAACTACACTTTGGTAATAACACACACACACACGCAAATATGATATTTAAATGTATATATGATGGAGCCCAATAGGCTCAGGACTCTGTACACTAATTGAGAGGAGGGACCGAAGAGCCAAAGCACTCAACCCCAGCAAGTACAACCAAGTGAGTACACGCGCGCACTTACAACTCCCCACGCACGCACTCACAAACCCTCTCCTCACCATTCTCCCCTGAATTAGAGTTCCGCAGGCACAGCTTGGCCAGAACACCTGTCACACACACACACACACACACACACACACACACACACACACACACACACACACACACACACACACACACACACACACACACACAACAGCAGGAAGACTTGTCAACGTTGTTTGATTTTTCGACTTGCAAGTTTTTTCTTAGACTAAAGCCCTCAATGAACGAGTCTGTGTATTTTCAAGATGCCTTAAACTGAACGATATTTCCAAACCCGTCCTCTCAAATAATACCTAACACATTGACGCTAAAATCCCCAACGGACCAATATCGTGGTACTATAAAATATAACGGCTCAGGAATAATCATGTTTCCTATGCGTGTGTTGGTAGGTTAGGGCTGCGCGATTTAGTACATCGTTTGAAGTCCGTTGTGACAACGTGAAAGGGCAGGTCTGGATATTTAGTGAAAATAATAACTGTAAATGTACTACGGACTATTCATGCCCGTGCCACCTCTTGGGTTGGATCTTCATCAATCAATCTGTATATATATACACTTTTCCGAGGTAATCAATAGGTGAAGAGAAGCATTTCACCAAAAGTCAACGTGCCCAACCATTTCTGTCCAACCCGGGAATTAAGAGTCGAGAACGACTCTCACTCTTGGGCTCTTATAACTGGAGAATTAAGTAGTGAAACTATTGTAATTTTAGAAGACTGCAAACCGTTAAAGAAAAGCCACTACAAAGCCAGGCCGTTCTCACAATTTAACAATGAAGCTTCCGGTTAATTATATACTTTTACTATAAGCTATACATAAGCGGATGAATCTACACAAACCTATCGTACCTGTCGTGGAAGATATAATAATAGTAATATAGTAGTTTACAGGAATTATATATTAGCAATTGTTGTTGATTTGTAGCCTGAGGAGTCAGTAATTCAACCTTCTGAGGACCTCGATACAAGCCTAACGTACAATAGAGTTCACGCACAGAGATCACACTAACGTGATGCATCAAATGAACAAATCGTACAATAGAGTTCTCGACTAATAATCGGGAATTCCGGGGTCGAATCCCGGGTAGAACAGAAATGGTTGGGCGCGTCTCCTATCACCTAATGCAAATAGAGTTGAAAACTGCACGTGGTGTCTGTGTGGGGAAATGTGTGGTGGTGTCTTGGGGGGGGGAGGGGGAAGGCTGTTGATGGGCCGTGTCTCCCCCACAAGAGACACCGCTACATCCATCCTTTACCGTGTGCACTAACAATACAGCCAACCATCTGCTGCCATCACCACAACTTCGCCTTATACACACACACACATCCTGTGTGTGTGTGTGTACTCACAACTAGGTGAGTACACATATATATGTACACACTTTTATTTATGACATGCAACCATTCATACATCCTTCCTATCTATCTATCTCTTCTCTCTCTCTCGTTCGTTTAACTAGGATTAGGTTTCTCTAGGATTATCATTAACATTTGTGGTATTTGCGAGATAAGAGCTACTATCTAACACCAGCTCCACCACCCCACCCCACCCCCGCTCCGGTGCCAGGTAAGTCCACTACGGGCTCACCATAGCCCGTGCTACTTACAACTTTTGGTCCCCAATAGCTGAATCTAAAAAACAAAAAACACAGCTCATACGGGGTGAGAATAGCTTGAGCTACCTCATCCCTTTGTGTGTATTTTACCTCAATAAGCTTATTTCAATTTCAATTTCAACACAGCTCATTTTAAAGTCAGATTCCAGAGAAGAGTGAGATGGGCGTGTACAGCAGACTAACAAACAAGCAGACAGACGGCTACACGAGCAGACTCTGCCTCTGGCCAAGTCACTTAAGCGCACTGAAAGGATGAAGTGACAAACGGTGAACATTTCGTAGTGGTTATTACGACAAACATTTCTGCACCGTTGTCATTTCTGTTCCAAATTATATGACCCGAAAGTGATCTAATATGTTACTGCTTTCGTAATTGCTTCCATGCTGGAAGTCTCTCTACATGTTTGGTTATTATCAGCATTTTTTTGAGACTTTGCGCAAGATCTCCCCCTCCTACTGTGCCTACGACCCCAGTCACTTCAGAGTTCATGTACAGTGAATATAACATTTAATTAATTTGATATAACATTACGCCATGGACAGGCGATGGGTCACAATAACGTGGCTAAAGTAAGTTGACCAGACCACACACTAGAAAGTGAAGGGACGACGACGTTTCGGTTCGACCTGGACCATTTTCAAGTCGATTGAGAATCGACGACATCGAGAATCGACTTGAAAATGGTCCAGGACGGACCGAAACGTCGTCGTCCCTTCACTTTCTAGTGTGTGGTCTAGTCAACTTACGCCATGGACGTTTTAACTCGAATCATAAATAACTGATTTCGAGGAAGCGATTGCTTCCTTGCAAGCCTCACTCGCCTGTCGACCCGTCAACGTTCACAATTTACACAGCAAACGCTGAAGACACAGTGTTTACATCGTATCTTAAAATACCTCCTCTCGCAGGTCCACTAGGGGCTCACCATAGCCCGTGCTACTTGGAACTTTATGTTCCAGGTAGCGAATCTTAAACAACAAACAACTCCTCTCGCAGGTTACAGTCTTAAGACTGTGTGAAGTGAGTCTCAATACTGAGATGTTGTTGTTAAAGATTCGCTACCTGGAATGTAAAATTCCAAGTAGCACGGGCTATGGTGAGCCCGTAGGCCTTAATAATATACTGAGAGTGGAGAGGCTCAGAACTGACGTTACAAACTAGACACGACCCCAGTCAGTCCAGTCTAAAATCTGTACAGGGATGAACACTTGTCACTATATATAAAGCATTATAGTTTCTTATTTTCGTTAGTTTGGTTTTTCTAATAGAGTAGTGATGACGTAGAGGGAATAAATACTTTTCTCAGATCTTGCACCCCCACTCCACATAACTTTGGAGTGATCTCATCGAGACCTTTAAAAAGTATTGAACAAATAAGGACACAAATCCTCTCTACTACTGTAATAGGTCCAATGTAACTCAAGGCGCCAACAGATTCAAGCTGAACAACCCGAAATACAGAGCAGAGTAAACGCAATCGTAGGCCTAATTTAATACATGTGTGTATTATTATACTAGGCCTATGAAAAAGTTTGGTTTGGTCGTAGCCTTACTCTTACTCGTGCTCTCTATACAAAATTAATAGTACAAAACTTGGACGTTGTTTGAGTATCTATCCACAGTAGCAATAGGGACTAGCATCCACAGTAGCTATAGGTATTACCATCCATAGTAGCTATAGGTCCCTGCCGTTTTTTTGGATGATATTTTGCATTAAGATCTTGTCAAACCTTGGTCAACACAGGCTACAAGCTAACTTGTACGTGGCTCGACCAGAGAGGTGTTGAAATACATCACTGGTGTATGTAATATTAGCAATTGTGTAACTAGCTTCACAAGATTTGTCACTTGCTTAGCTAAACGAACTATTGGGGTTCAGTTCCTGGACCGATTACGTGCTCCCTTTCCACCACCGCCTCATGGGATGTTGTGTACTTAAAGAAATGAAATGAAAAATATGGCTCGACCAGCCATACGTTGCAATATGTGAGTGATGGTAGTTGGAAGGTCGTATATGGTGAGAGCAGTGAAGGATAGTGAGAGCAATTTAGTGTCAACACCAGCCTAGCCGCTTGACTCATTCACCTGCCCCGCCCACACCCAGAGAGTGAGGGGGCGGCTAGAAAGTGGACCTCACTCCACTCAACCTAAACTTGCTCATACACTTGTTTTTGAATGACAGGGCTAATGAACTGTATCCTCAAAAATGGCATTATATGCAGCGTTTCTCTTGGAGAATGCGTGTATTCCAGAATCTTTGCCTGTATTAGTCATTAGGCTACAGAGTCTTATCTCTACCGGCCATGTATATATATATGACAGTGTCAGACCACGGAGGAAGAATTGAAACGGGTTTCCTGAAGTACTTTCGTATATTAATACATCTTCAGAAGGAATGATGATCCTTCTGAAGAATGATGATTCAGTGCGGGCCATACTGAAGTTCATAGAAACACCTGATAAGAATATCAAGTCATCGATCGGACTGGCCTATGAGAAAACACTGATAGTTTCAGGCTTCTGGCTATGTTATTTTAGAAAATATGCAGATGACTATTGTGCACTTTAAAGTATGATATACAGTGAAT